TACCTCGTCAAGGTAGTTTTATAAAACACGGTTCTAGACATGTTTTGTTAAACGCGCCCGCGATGTGAACCGCCAGTTTAGTAAAACCAGTTTATTAAAACACGATTTAAACATGTTTAAGCTTTGGTGTGAACGGGGTATTAGCTACGGCCGTGGATTAATGTGCTCATCGAGCACCTTTTTTTATTACTTTGTTAATACTTATAATATTTAATATTCTCTCTTTTATTTTAGTCATGCGTTTTATACATGAGCCTCTGGCTCGGATACTGAGGGCAACCTCAATCCCACGCAATGACTTTAATAAATTGATTGATTGATTGATTGATTGACTGATTGATTGAAAACCTCCATCATCCTAATTGGATTGAACAAGAGCTTCCTACATCGAAAATCGATTGAACTTCAAACAAACTAGGCCATAATTATGAGTTAGCGAACACTCAACATGTTGTCGTTACGTCAATTATCGCCTGGAAGCCACGTAAATAAATTTCTTCTGCGCTAGCGAATCACAGACAGTTCTGATAGCTAGCTAGGCCGAGAACGCCTAAAATTGATAAAAAAAGGAAATTCTGCTCTCGATCAGCGCTAGACCTAATCTTCTTCACTCGGCTCGTGGCCGTGTTTTGCTCGCAAATAACAATGTCCCGGATGTACTTGAATTTTGTCGAGTTGGAAATGCCATATCCAGACTTTAACAGATTTTTCTTTAGTCTTTAACCAAATCAAAGTTCAGACCAAATAACGCCAACAGCAGCTAGGAATGTCTAGTCCATTGCACGTCTAAACACTAAATTGATGTGGCTAAAGCTCTTTGCTGCGTGTGCAAGCACAACATTATCGCCACAGTGCAAACGGCCTAATATTACGGGGCTAAATGACGTCCCGTTTCAGTACATCTCAGGGCCCTTTCATGTACGATAATGGACGACACTTGCTAGCAAATCGTTAGACTTGCACCTTCATTGGACTTAATGATGTCCTCGGGCAGACTTCCTATAGACAGCAGTTATAGAACGCCAATCGGTCGGCTCCTTCTCAGAGTTACCGCGCGAACTGAAATTGAGACGAGTGTAGCCTGGGCTACACTCGAAAAAGGATACGAACGCTAGAGTGGCTGGGCTAAGAAAACAAACAAAAGAAAGCGCGGCGGGGCAAATGTGATATAAATATTCCAATGGCTCTCAATGAGTCCGACGATCCATCGGTATCAGACTCAACAGAAGAGTCACTGTAAACATCCCCGTTATGGCTGTAAAATTCCCATATTTTTACAGAACCTGTCTGTTCTCTTGACCCGATCTTTTTGCCCGCTTCATTGATAAGATAGCTATAGCTTCATCCGCGAGGCCAACTTTCGCATCTTCACTCCAAGATGTATTTCCATTCTTTCTTCGCTGTTTTCGCTTTTTTGAACTGGTTCACGGAGTTTTCCGTGGTCCATATTTGCTTACAACTCAATAGAATTGCACCTAATACGAAAAATGCTTAGATTAACAATGTTGATCAACTGAGTAGAGGTGAGTAGCCAGCCAATTCGTGGTATCAATATAGGTAATATTCCCGCTAAAGTCGTCTCGGTTGATTGCATACGCGTTATAGGGCTGTCAATCAAGAGGGAACTTTTACTTCCTGCCACAACGTAAAACCTCCATTTCTCCGCCAATATTTAGTTTTTTTCAATTTTTTTTTCAGAAATTACAGAT